GATTGGCACAGGACAGAGCGGAGTTTAGGGCTGTTGTACATAGGGTCGCTATGAGTCGCAAGTGACTCGACGGCACATAACAACAACAACAACATAATATCCCTAGTACCACGATCTCTTCTAAATCCACATCTGGCAATTCTCTGTTGATATATTGCTCTAAACGTTTTTGGATAATTTTTGCTTGCATGTGATATTAATGACATTGTTTGATAATTTCCACACTCCGTTGGGTCACCTTTCTTTGGAATGGGAATAAATATCAATCTTTTATTGAAAATATTGAGCTTCAAGTATATAAATTCCAGTAATAAAACTCATGGAACTTATCTAAAAGGATATTATTTTTCTCATCCATATCTTCAGCTTATCTTGCTGTCCAGATTGCGTTCTTCTGGAACAGAATCTTAGTTCTTTTTAACAACACTTTAGAGCACAGGAGAGTGCATAAACAAATGAGTTGATGAGTTCGGGTTAGATCAAGGAGAGAGAGCACTAGGAGCTTTATAAGAAGAAACAATCTGTTCTTGTTAAGATCTTATAGCCTTTGTATCAAGGATATATTTGCTTCATAGAATGAGTCTGGGGGAATTTCATCTTTTTCTATTTTCTGAAATAGTTTATGTAGAATTGGTGACAGTTCTTCTCTGATTGTTTGGTAAAATTCACTTGTAAAACCATCTGGTCCAGTATGTTTATTGGCTGGAAGTTGTTTTATTACCTTTCCAATTCCTTCTTTTGTAATGGGTCTGTTCAGGTGTTCAATTTCCATTGTTTAGTTTAGGTAGGTTGTGAATTTCTAAGCATTTGTTCATTTCCTCTAGGTTTTAATATTTGTTTGAGTATAATTTTTTATAATATTCCAATGTTAGCCTTTTTATTTTATTTGGTTCTCTTGTGACATTGACCATTTCATCTGAATTATTTGTGCCTTTTCCTTTGTTAGTTTTGCTAGTGCTTTGTCAATTTTATTGACCTTTTCAAAGAACCAACTCCTAGTTCTGTTGATGGTTTCAATCGTTTTTTTTTTTCTATTTATTTCTGCTCTAATTTTTATAATTACAGGTTGTTTTAGAGGGTGTAGGGTTTTCTTGCTGGCTTTTTTTAAAATTTGTTGGAGATGTTGGGTTAGCGAGTCAATCGCCAATTTTTCCCTGCCTTTTGATATGTTTGTTTAATTGCTATAAATTGACCTCTGATTACTGCTTTGACTGTTTCCCAGAGATTTTGGTAACTGGTTTTTCATTGTCATTTGTTTCAAGGAAATTTTTAATTTCACTGTTTATTTGTTATAGTACCCACTCATGTTTAAGCAAGGTGTTGTTCAGCTTCCAAATGTATGGTTTTTTTCTTCTTTATCTTCTTGGTATTTATTTCTAATTTTATTGCATTATGGTCTGAGAAAATACTTTGTATTATTTCTATGTTTTTAAATTTATTGATGCTTGCCTTATGACCTAAAATGTGATATATTCAGGAGAATGTTCCATGTACATTGTAGAAGAAGGTGTACTGTGTTTATTTGGGGTGCATTAACCTATTAATATCTAAGAGGTCGAGTTGGTTTATTGGGTGGCTTAATTCTTGAGCATCTTTGTTGAGTTGGTTTTTTTGGGGTTTTTTTGGTAGTTCTATCTTTTCTTGAGAATGGTGTATTGAAGTCTCCAACTAAAACTATAGGCCAATATCTCTTATGAATATTGATGCAAAAATCCTGAATAAAATCTTGGTCAATAAAATCCAAGGATAGATAAAAAAATTAATTAACCATGTCCAAGTGGGATTCATAACAGGTATGATGGTTCAACCTACAAAAACAATCAATATAATTCATCACATTAACAAAGCAAAGAACAGGAACCACATGATCCTATCAATTGATGCAGAAAAGGCCTTTGAAAAAATCCAACACCCTTTCCTGATTACAACACTCAATAAAATAGGATTAGAGGGGAATTTCTTCAACATAGTAAAAAGTAAATACACAAATCTGAGAACCAACATTGTTCTCAATGGAGAGAGATTAAAGACAATCCCCTTCAGAACAGGAACTAGGCAAGGATGTCCACTATCACCTCTCCTATTCAATATTGTATTGGAAGTCTTAGAGATAGCAATAAGGCAAGAGAAGGAAATAAGAGGTACCCAAACTGGCAAAGAGGAGGTAAACTTATCTCTATATGCAGGTGATATTACAGTATACTTAGAAAACCCCAAAGACTTGGCAAGAAAACTATTGGACATAGTTGACCAATTCAGCAAAGTGGAAGGATACAAGATCAACATACAAAACTCAATTGGACTTCTCTACAGTGAGAAAGAGAACACTGAACTGGAGCTAAGAAAAACAATACCCTTCAAAATAGCTAATCACAAGATTAAATACTTGGGAGTAAATCTAACTAGTAGCACAAAGCATCTATTCAAAGAAAAGTACACAACATTATTACAAGAAACAAAAAGAGACCTGGAGAAGTGGAAGAATATCCCTTGCTCATGGATAGGAAGACTCAGTATCGTGAAAATGACAATACTACCAAAGGCAATTTACACGTTCGTTCAATGCAATACCAATTCTGTTCTTCAATTAGCTGGAGAAGGCAATCTCTAATTTCATTTGGAATGGAAAGAGGCCCACAGTAGGCAGAGCACTCCTTAAAAATAGAAACAAGGTAGGAGGCATCTCACTTCCTGATTTCAAATCCTACTACACTGCTGTAGTGGTCAAGACAGCATGGTACAGGTACAATGATAAACACACAGATCAGTGGAATAGAATTGACAGCCCAGAGATCAGCCCATCTACATATGGTCAACTGATTTTTGACAAGAAGATGAAAACAGTTATGTGGGGAAACCACAGCCTTTTAAACAAATGGTGCTGGCAAAATTGGAAAACTATCTGCAGAAAACTCAAGCAAGATCCACATCTCACTCCATGTACAAAAAAACAACTCAAAGTGGATTATGGACCTATGACTAAAATCAAGGACTATAAACTTCATTAAAGAAAAGCTTGGAAGAACTCTAGAAGTCCTAATTCACAACATAAACAGTCTTCCAAGCATCCTGAAAAATCTACAACCAGGAGAGGATAAAACAGATGAAGGGGATCTTCTAAGAATCAAATCCTTATCCACATCCAAAAACTTCTCCAACAGGGTAAAAAGGGAAAGCCAGAGACTGGGAAAAAAATATTTGGCAATGACACGCCAGACAAAGGGCTTATATCTAGGATTTACAAAATACTCGAGCTCCACAACAAAATTAAGATAAATAACCCCACTGAAAAATGGGCACAGGATATGAACAGACACTTCACCAAAGAAGACGGCCAACAAATGCATGAAGAAATGTTCAAAATTCCTAGCTTTAAGAGAGATGCAAATCAAAACAACTATGAGATATCATCTCACCCCAGTAAGAATAGCAAAATTTAACAGAACAGCAAACATCAAATGCTGGCAAGGTTCTGGAGAAACTGGAACCCTTATTACTGTAGTAATAATTACGGTAGTACAAGCTGGTGCAACCACTATGGAAGGCTCTACAGCACCTTCTAAAAAAACTGCAAATAGAAATACCATTTGACCCAGCAATTCCACTACTGGGAATATACCCTAAAGAAACCATAACCACCACCCAAGCAGATATATGCACACCCACGTTTTTTGGTGGCTTTGTTCACAATGGCAAAGAGTTGGAAATAACACAAGTGCCCATCAACAAATGAACGGACAGAGAAACTGTGGTATGTTCACACAATGGAATACTATGCTACATTGAAAAACAAAGAACTCATGAAACACTATACAAATTGGGTGACCCTGGAGGACATTATGCTGAGTGAAATATCTCAGTCACACAATGACAAATATTGCATAGGGCCACTGTTGTAAAATGGGACTGACATTGGAGTTGAAGGGAGACTGAGAGAGAGAAGGGATAAATAATATATACTGCATTGAAACAGATGAAAGCGAGAACTGTTTAAAAGGGATCTATGATTCGGTATTATTGTCATGAAAGAAGTCCAGAATGAAGGTTGCATAGTGGAACGGACTTGGGGGAAAGGATTGTATAACAGTGAAAGAATTTTTCTTTTATTTTTCAAAGAGAAGAGCAAATTGGGGGGAGGGGTGAGCAGGGAGAAAAGTGCAACAACAAATGAATGGAAATCCAAAGTCTCTAAACGTTCATTAAAATTAATAAAAAAAATAAATAAAAAGAATTTACAGCCTTGGAAACTGTAAGGGGAAATTCTACTCTGCCCTACAGGTTTGCTATGAGTTCAAATGACACCATGGCCAACATGAGCGGACACTGGATTTAGAATAGTAAGGTCAGCTACAGTTCTTGCAGAGGACTGACTTCTCTGTGTGATATTAGTAATGGTAAGACACATTCCTCTCTCAGTTTCAGATTCCTCTTCTGCTGAGTAGACTCAGTAGTCTTAATTGTGTGCATATTTCTCTGCTGCCAAACACAATGCTGAATATTTTATGTACAGTAATTCAGTTAGTCTTGGCAACAGTTTTGTGAGGCATTCATTCATTCATTCATTCAGTCCACCATTCGGTGCTGCATGGTCTCTACAAGTCAGATGCTGAAACTCAAGGGTGAACATAACAAGTATGCTCCATGTCTTATGTGTTAGCTCTAACTTTCAAACAAGGAAAATAACTAATATTCCAAAATTTACCAATCTGCCTAAAAAGTGAGTAAGTGGAGAAACAAGAACTACAAGTCAGACTGTAGAGATTGTGGTCTCAATCACTGTCCATGCCACTGTCCAGTACACTGTGATTTTATGAAACAATGTCTCATCATTACTAAAATAACACTGGCATCACAAGCACGCCTATCCCTACTTCAGCTTTTCCTTACCTGTGGAAACAATTCCAAGGCATTAACTCTGCTTAGCATTGCCAAAACAAAGGCAGCTGTCTTTCCTGTTCCAGATTGGCTCTGTGCTATGAGGTTCTGGGGTCTGTCAAAAAAGAGCAGGGCACTGGGCATAAAATGAATACAAAAGCCTTAGCATAAATGAAAAATATGAGATGAAAAACAAACCAAGTTGGAATTCCACTGCTCTGGAAACTCACGGATGTGCCAGCATCATAGGGAGAGCCATTTCTTGGATTTTAGATGGTCTATTAAACCCCATTGCATAGATTCCTTTTAGTAACTCTTCCTTTCTGCCAAAAACCAAAACAACAACAAAAAATCAAACACTTAAAGCTTTTGACTTATCAACAGTCTGAGAAATAAACACCTAGAAGACGCATTTCTAAATTAAGCTATTTTGCAAGGAAGCATCAAAAAAATGCAAGCCTCAAATATATAAAAGCATGCTGGAACACTAAAACAGTAAATTATGCTAGTATTAATGCCATGTTGTTGTTACGTACTGTAGAATCAGAACCAATCTACAGATAACCCTCTGGCAGGTGTTCAGAGGTAGTTTATCACATGGAAGATTGCCCATCCTTCTCCCACAGAGCAGCTGGTGGCCTCGCACCACATACCTTAGGGATTTCAGAGCAGCTTCCTGCCAGTTAGAACTAATTTGTTATTCCAATAAACTAAAATAGTAACTCTTAAGTGTCAAACTACTCAATAAATAAGGTAAACAGGGCATTATTTGCACTTATCTGTAGTTAACAATTTCAGATATTTTACACATCAAAGAATCTGGTTGTAAGTTTAGTATCTTTCTACGTAAGCAAAGCCTGTTTCTAAATTTACAAACCTTGGCAGGGATAAAGCAAGTATACAGTAAGCAAGGCAAGCATAGGTGAAATCCATGTTATTATTATCCATGTTATTGAAATCCATGAAATTGTTCATGATAACTTGGTAGCAAGCACAAATAAGCCTGTGGTTACCTTGCTTATTAAGTAATCCACTCGTTTACCCAAAGTTTAACCTAAAGTTTAACTTCCTGTTCCACAAAGCAAAAAAAGGGAAAAGTTCATTTGACAAAAAATGTAACAGTTTGCTAGGAGAGCTATTTTCCTGACAAGAAAGCTGTATTAGTTTTATTAATTCTGTAAAATAAGAGTATTATTTTTAACTACACTTTTTAGGGAAGATACTTTTATGTTGTAACTTGTATTTCAACTCAATTCTTAGTTAAACTCTCCAGAAGACAGCATTTTAAAATATATTTCCCCTAAATTCTCAGGACTGATGGAAGAGTCATCAACAACCTGCGTTCTGCAGGTGACACAACCCTGCTTGCTGAAAATGAGGAGGATGTGAGGCGCTTGCTGCAGCAGGTCAATCAAAGACTGCAGCCTCCTATATGGACTGAAGCTCAACATCAAGAAAACAAGATTCTCACCAGTGGGCCAACTGGCAGCATCAGTATGGATGGTGAAGAGATTGAGATATTTAACAGTTTTAGTTTGCTTGGCCCCACAGTCAACACTCTTGGTAACAGCAGCCAGGAAATCAATAGACGAATTGCATTGGGAAAAGCAGCTGTGAGAGACCTCTCAAGGGTACTGAAGAGCAACGACGTCAGGCTGGAGACTAAGGTGCACCTGGTCTGGGCTATAGTCTTCGCAATTACGTGCTATGCATCAGAGAGTTGGACAGTAACTAGGGCTGATAGGAGAATTGATGCCTTTGAGCTGTGGTACTGGAGAAGAGTGTTGAATACACCATGGACTGCTAGGAGAACAAACAGGTTTGTCCTGGAGAAGGTGAAGCCAGAGTGCTCCTTGGAGTCAAGGATTCTGAAGCTTCATCTGACACATACTTTGGGCATATTGCAAGGAGGGACTAGTCCTTAGAGAGCGACATCATGTTTGGCAGCGTGGAGGGACGGCACAGGAAAGGAAGACCCTCGATAAGATAGATCGATTCTGTGAGTGGAGTGGTGGGAATGACTGTGTTTGAGACGGTGAGGTTGGCACAGGACAGAACGGCATTTAGAGCTCTGTACATAGGGTTGCTATGAGTAGCAAGCAACTTGATGGCACATAACAACAACAACAAGTTCTCATGACAGATGCTAGAGGGAGGATGAAACCAAGAAGGCAGGACACTCCTACCCTCTAAAGACATGCTCAGAGATCAGTTAATTGGCTGATTACTAGCAGTCAAGTTTTTATAAGAAGGTATCTGCTACTAACGAGAAAGTATCTGAATTTTTGGATTTTCATACTCTGCTTAAGTATGCATCATTAAGGTCTTCCTTTTTTAAAATGCACTTTCTTAATGCCATCTGGCATGCTCTCTTGTTCTTGCATGCATGTCCTCAAGTCAACTCCAACTCATTGCAGCCCTGTATGACAAAAGGAACCCTGCCAGTCTTGATCATCCTGTCTCCATTGTGCTTCAACTCACTGCTGCAGCCACTGTTGTCAATCCATTCTCTTTATGCTGCTCTGCCACTCTACCAAGCATAATGTCTTTTTCTAAGGACTGGCCCCTCCTGGCCCAAAGCATGAGATATAAAGCCTCACCAGCCTTGCATCTAATGAGCATTCTGGCTATCCTTCCTCAGGACAGGTTTGTTCTAGATATATCCCTAGGACTGTCACTTGTTTAAATACCATCAGAAATAAAAGATAATTAGGAATGTATTGGCTTGTAACTTTTTAAAGGGATGGGAAAGGATGTTTGAATCATCAATGGCCCCGTAAATTCTGGTATGCATAGTAGCAATCTAGCTATTCTATATCCTATAGGAAGCACAGAAAAGTTCAAATATTTCACAATAAAAATGTTCTTAACTCTGGGAAATGTAGGAATCCTAGTGCTGTTCTTTGAGCAAAATTGCACACAAAACACAGACATTTCAGTTAAAACTAAATTTGAGACTACAAAAGAGATTCAGATGGTTTTCATTATTAATACATTATTAACACAATTTGTTCTGTGCTTTCCAGAATTTTCATGTATTAAAGGAAATTAAAAAGGGGGAAAATACTCACAGCCGTAACTCTTCAAATGTTTTTACGGAATAGAGTGGAGAGCTTGGATCCTTTTGTAATACTTCAACTCGATGGCTGGATTCTACTAAGGATTTCCTGATTAACTTGTTTAAAAGTGAATTAGCTGCTAAGTCCACTAAAAGAAGCAAACATAAAAAAGTAACTGCAGGGGAAAAAATAAAGCCTCTTAGATGGTATTTTAAGCTGTTGTTTTAAAAAGAAGGTTGTAGAAAGAATGACAGAACTCATTCACTCAGTATTATAGCACTAAGAATTTCTTCCTTGATGGAACTGTTTCATTCATTTTGCCACTACATACAACCTCCTAACAGGCCTATATCCATCTCCAGGAGCCTCAAAATCGTCTTTGTTGTGATGTGCCATTAAGTTGCTTGCAACTCATAGTGACCCTATATACAACAGCTATAACCCCACTCTATCCTGTCACTACCTTACCATCTCTGACACAACTAACCCATTACCACAGTCACTGAGTCAATCTATTTCATCAATGGTCTCCCTCTCTTGCACTGTCCTTCCACCCTTCCAAGCATGACATCTCTCTCCAAGGTCTCTCCATGCAGCATGCCCAAAGTAGGTCAGACAAAGCCTCAGAATCTTTGCCTCCAAGGAGCAGGCTGGTTTCATCCTCTCCAAGACAAACCTGTTTGTTCTTCCTTACCAGTTGAAAATTCTTAACCAACTGCATACTCCATTTCTAAGGAATATGGCCCACTCCTAAGTTAGTAAATACTAAAGGGAAAAAAATTTCTCTCCTACTTGAGATTATACAACTCACACTGTGAAAGTGATAAAAACAGAATGCTACTTGATATATTTAAATGAATTTATTTCCTACCTACATCATCTTCTTCATCATCTTCTGTGTTACTAATAGAATCATCTAAAAGAATGGAAAAGAAATAATAAAAGTAACAGAAATGTGAAATTGTTGGAAGCGTTGTCCAGTGACGAACCAACCAACCACTTTGTGGATAAGGAATGGGAGGTGATGAAGGTTAGCTGACATTAAACTAAGGGAGCCAAAATACCTCAGTTAGTAGGTGCAAGATAAAATCAGTATGACTGGTAACAGCACTCACCTTCTTTTGGGATTGCAGTGCTCTTAATACCCAGAAGGTTCTTCTGGGGGTGGAAGAGGTTTGAAAACTGTTGGAAAACAACACATTTTCAACCAACATTAGAAATAAGCCATTAAAGCAGCCCAAAGAGCCAATAAAAGCAGCTTAAAGGAGGCAGGGAGACCACTGAGGATTTTGTTCAGAATGCAATTTTGGGCAATGGAGTTCTTCAAGAGACTGCCTACAATCTTTTTTTATTTTAGGGCCTAGGTTAACTAGGAGCAATACATAGAGATCACAGGCACAGAAAAGGGGAGGAGAGACAAAGAAAACACAGACATAACCGTAAAATAACAGGGGCTTAACGGCCAAATTGGGAAAACCGCAAATTAAAACCCTAGTTGGGACCACCAGTTACTTTCCCTCCGCTGGTTTCAGGGTGCCTCTGTAGGTCCATTGTGTCCTCCCAAGCCAAAGGTCTTCTCTGACTAGCAGTCTCCTTTTCCCTTCTTTCCTCTCTCAAACTCTCCCACAACTCCCCTCTACCAGTTCAAGCCCATTCAAATGGGCAGCCAGGCTTTTGCTCCCTTCTCCTGCAAAATTCCCCTTCCCTGAGGCACCTGCCCTATCCTGAACACTGTTCCCTCCCCCCTCAATTCGGTGACTGTTACCTGGTGGCTGTTCAGCCTCTCACTCTCCTCTGCCCCAGCGTCGCCTCCCCACAGTAACGACGCCATAGCTGTAATGGCCACTCTGGTCCCCAGCACGTGCTCCATGGATCTAGCAGGGGCGTGGTCAGCTCCACCCACTGGCCAATGGGCACTCTCAACCCACGAGCCCACCCACACACAGTGCACAGCGGGAGCGGGAGCGTTTGTGCTGGCAGCCAGGAGGGAGGGCATGGGGACAGGATGATGCTCAGGATTTGGGTTTGACTCTACACTCTATTCCCCACCTTGCTCCTCCCGGCCACTCCATGCCTGCTCTCTTCTGCAGTGCTAGACTTCGAAGGCCTCGTTAGTGTAGTGAACTCTCCTCAAGCTGGGAAACTCAGACGCTAAAATAAATGGACTAGTTTAAGAGCCCCCAACTTCCCCATCTTCATTAGTTGAGGCCCTAGCTGCTAACTGAAAGGTTTGATTTTGCCAAACACCCTAACGAAGAGTAATTTGGCAGTCTGCTTCCATAACTTTTGAAATAAAAGCCGATTGATTTAGACTATGTAACAGAATAGAACGGTTCATAACTGTTATCCAGGTTGTACATCTTCGGAAGCAGACCACCTCTCCTTTCACCAGTGGAGTGAGTTAAAACTGTTAGTAGCTGTTCTGTTAAATTTTGCTAGTCTTACTGGAGTGAGATGATATCTCATGGTTGTCTTGATTTGCATCTCTCTCAGGGCTAGGGATTTTGAACATTTCTTCATGTGCTTGTTGGCCATCTGAATGTCTTCCTTGGTGAAGTGTCTGTTCATATCCTGTGCCCATTTTTCAATTGGATTATTCTCCTTTATCTTGTTGTGGTGCTCGAGTATTTTATAAATTCTAGATATAAGTCCCTTGTCTGACATGTCATTACCAAAAACTTTTTTCCAGTTTGTGGCTTCCTTTAAAAAAACAAAAACAAAAACAAAACCCAACCTGTTAGTAGCTCAGTGTTGCAATTGCTGCACACCAGGGCTCACCCTGTAAAGATTGTAGAGGTTGTTGTGTACTGTCGGAACTGCCCCAGTGGAGCAACTGGTGGATTTGAACTGTGGGCCTTTGAGATTGCAGCACTGTTTCTTGCCACTAGGCCACCAGAACTCCTTTGCAAATCCTATGGGGTAAATCTACTAACACATCTTTGGGCTTTTAACTTATGTTTTAAAACTTTATTCATTCTGCTACCTAACAGTTTTCCTACCTTCAGACTCTGGTGCCTGCATCTCCCAGGAAATTCTCGCCTCTACATTACAGAATATAAAAAATGTTAGAGAAATGACAAAGGAAATGGAAGAACGTTTGATCTGGTAGTTGAAATCGAGTGCAAAAGTTGTGGAAAGCAATCAGTTATTTAAATTCTAACGTCTGTTCCTGCTCTTAGAGATCCCTGGACATTCATACTTAGCTGTTTGTTTTAATTTTCACTCTAATAAAGTGGCTCCATCTTAAAGTATCTCTTGTACTAATGGAAGCTGCATTGGGACACAAGCCTTAATTCCCTCTCCCCTCCCGACAACACCGAGTTTTCTAAACGTAGTTCTGGATTTTGGGTTAGCATCTCTTGATGGGGTGGCAGGTGGCAGGAGAGAAATGGCCTGACAGCCATCATCTCTCCCCGTGGTGCTGAAACAATACACCCTAGCTCTGTCGGGTTCTCATGCATCTCTGTTGTTTTTGAACCCATCATGTTCCTTTTTAGCCGTTACATTTGGTTTCTAATCTTAACTGTTGTTGTCTCTCAATAATAAATTCTAATTAAATTGGTCAAAAATCCCGATCTTTAACCTCCTCATTTTATAAGCATTTTTGAAAAGTAACTTTTCTTGTATTATTCACTTTACCAATTTGCCATGTACTAAATTTCACCTATTTTACTTTTATTCTACAAGAAGCCCCAGATTCGGCCTGGTGGCGAAATGGTGGCCGGACTAGGAGGAACCGTTAGACAGGTTTCAGCTTCAAGCCGGCACTGGTCCACCTCGCCTGAGTCTAGGAACTACATTTCCCACAAGGCACTTCACGTAGGGACTACATCTCCCATGTGGCTCCTCTCCTAGACAATGCAAACACATCGCTTCCTGTCTTTGGAAAAAGCTGCGTGGCGGAAAACAAGGAAGAAGGTATAGAGGCTATTTTGTTGTTAAACTTTATGGATTTTGCAAAGAGGGATGAACAAGCAGTTCAACGGTTATCTTTTTATACCTTCCTCACACTCTGTTTCTTTCCGGAAAGCACTAATATATAGGATTGGGACATTGTTGCTGTGTGCCGAGAAGTCACAACTGATCCTTAGTGACCCTCCAGCGGGTTTTCAGAGGCCGTAAATCGCTGGAGAAGAGATTGCTCATCTTTCTCCCTATGGAGCAGCTGTGGATTCGAACCACGGGTCTTTGGATTGGCAGCGCAGCTCGTTACTCCTAGGCCAGGAGAGCTCCTTGCGACACTGGTTAGAACAACGTTTTTCTTTGTGCCTGATATTTTTTCTCCTATCCAAATTCGGAACAGTGCGTGATTCTTTATCATTCTGTCACAGAAGTGTAGCCCTGGATTGCTGCCCCAGTTAGAATTCTGCATGCTCATGAAACTGAATGCACCAGTACAGATTGGCATAGCAATCGCGTGTGGCGGGAGGAAAGGCCTAGCGACAAGTTTCAAATTATTCTTCAGATAGGTATTTTGTTGTTGTTGTTGATTGCCATCGAGTAGAACACGACTCATAGTGATTGTATGAACAAAAGACCTGAAGCCTTTCTATAACTGTCGTCGTTTCTCAAAGTTCATAGAGTTTGCAGAGGCTTCTTGTTTAGGTAGTGGATGCCACACCTGCTTCCAATTAATTTAAAAGCTGGGTTTTACATCTTTTATATTTTATATTGTCAAAATAGAATGAATGTAAATGATATTTCAAGTTGTTTGCTACAACTGATGATTGTTTTCTTCTGAGTTGACATTGATGAATCTGTTTGTTTTTCTAGCAGTCCATGGTACTCTCAATACTCTTCTCCAGCACCACAGCTCAAAGGCATCAATTCTCTTTCTATCCTCCCTGGTCATTGTCCAACTCTTTGATGCATAACAAGTGATTGAAAAGACCATGGCCTGAATCAGACACACCTTAGTCTCCAGAGAGACACCATTGCTCTTCAGTACATTGGAGAGGTCCCTAACAGGAGACTTTCGTATGGCAATACACCTTTTAATTTCCTGGCTGCTGGTGCCAAGACTGTTGACTGTGGAGCGAAGCAAACTAAAGCTGTGAACAATCTCAATCTCTTCACCATCCATCCTGATGCTGCCATTTGGTCCAGTGGTGAGAATCTTTGTCTTCTTGACATTGAGTCTCGATCCATATTTGTGGCTGCCATCCTTGACCCTCTGCAGCAAGCACTTCAGGTCCTCTTCAGTTTCAGCAAGCAGGGTTGTGTCATCTCCACCAACCTTGACCCCACATTTCTCTTCATAGAGCCCAGCCTCCAGGATAATCTATTCTGCATACAGGTTGAAAGGTATGGAGATAGGACACATCCCTGGTGTACGTCCTTCCCAATTTTGAACCATGCAGTGTTCCCTTGCTCTGCTCTGACGACTGCCTCCTGGTCCAAGTATAGGTTTTGCATTAGAACGATAAAGTGTTCTGGGGTTCCCATTCTCCTCAGTCAGCCACAGTTTGTTTTGATCCACACAGTCAAACGCCTTTGCATAGTCAATGAAACACAGATAGACATTCCTCTGGTATTCCCTGCTTTCAGCCAAGATCCATCTAACATCAGCTACAATATCCCTA